TTTGATCCACTCTGACAATCTCTTTTAATTTTGGTATATTTTGTCTATTGACTTTGACATAGTTATTGATTATTGATATAGTTGAATTAATATCTACCATGTTTGTTACTATTACCTATTTGTTGCTCTTATTCTTTGTGCCTGGTTTTTTTGGTTTTGTTTTGTTTTGTCTTTCACACTTGAAAAAGAGTTGCCTTTTGTGGTTTCAGTTGAACATTTTATATCATTCAATTTCCTCTCACTCCTTAGCATATCAGCTGTCTTTCTGTCTTCCTTCCTTCCTTTCTTTTTTTTTTTTTGGTGGTTGCTCTATAATTTGCAGTATGCCTTTACAACTAATCTAAGTCTACTTTCAAATAACACTGTACCACTTCATGGTTAGTGCAAGTACCTTGTAATAAAATATTTCTAATTCTCCCTTCCCGTCCCTTGTGTCATTGCTGTCGTTCATTTTACTTACACATACAATGTTATTACTGTCATACTGCCTGTATTCCTAATAGCTTATTAGGAATAAGCTTATTTATTTTGTAACTGGAAGTTTGTACCTCCTGATCACTTTTATCTATCACATCTATAATCCCCAGCCACCTCCCCTTTGGCAACTAACCACCACCAGTTTGTTTTCTGTATTCAAGAGTCTGTATTTTAAGCTCTTTTTTTGTGTTTGTTTATTTGTTTCTTAAATTTCACCTATGAGTGAAATATAGTTCCTGTCTTTTTCTGTCTGATTTATTTTATTTAGCATAATAAACTCTGGGTCCATCCATATTGTCACAAATGGCCAGATCTCGTCCTTTTTTATGGCTGAATAATATTCCATTGTGTGTTTATATCACTTGTATATAACACATCTCTATCCATTCATCTATCGATGGACACTTGGGCGGCTTCCGTCTTTAATAAATAAATTAATTTTAAAAACTTAAATTTGGGTCACAACCTAATTTAATTTTCTTCTGTAGCTCGGATGTAATTACTAGAACTTCTCTCATGATTTGTATATAGCCTTATTGGTTTTTTCCCCTTCCCCAGTGCACACGTTTTTATGTGTGTTTGTTATTTGTCTTGTATCTTTTTTTCTCTCTTTCTGTATTTGATTGAGTGCCACCAAGTCTAAGAACGTGTGGCCGTGTACCCTATCCCGCACCGGCGACAGTACTACCAGCCCTGTGTGCGTTATTCAGCACTTGAAAAGGGGGCTGGTCTGAATGGAGATGTGCTCTAAGTGTAAAGTATGCCTACATTTTGAAGACTTGATGGAAAAAAAGAATGTCAAGTAGTTCATTGATCATTTTGATGTAACTTGTTGAAACTAGACTATTTTGTATTATATATGGTCTTTCATCCTGCTCCCAGTTTTTTGGAGTTCGTCTGTCAGTCAGGTCTTTCTGTGAGACCACGGGGGTGTTGCTGTGTCCTTCCTGACCTCTTGTCCATCCTGTTGGATCTCCTAGACCAGAGTAGTGGGCATTAGGCCAAGGGTTGTGCCTCACTTTGAGCTTGCTTCCTTCTGGTGGGAGGGCTTAAAATATAAGCCAGAACAACACAGGTTCTAACTGTGCATTCACATACATGTGCATTTTTTAAAAATAAATTCACAGTGCTATGTATATATTTCCTCTTAATGATTTTTTAAAATAACATTTTATTTTCTCTTTGTTATAAGAATTCAGTATATAAAACTACAAACTGTGTCAGTCAACTGTTTATGTTATCAGTAAGGCTTCCAGTCAACAGCAGACTATCAGTAGTTAGGTTTGTGGGGAGGCAGAATGTTATATATGGGGGTGCCTGGCTGGCCTAGTCCATAGACTGTGTGACTCTTGATCTCAGAGTTGTGAGTTCGAGCCCCACTTTGGGCATGGGGCCTACTTTTTATACACAGATGTTTGCCTGCTCAGAGGGTTGGCGTCCCTAACCCCCACATTGTTCAAGGGTCAACTAACTGTATATTTACATTACATACTTTCTTTAATTTGTATTACTATTAAATTCCATTATATTTACACTGTGACAGTGCTATTGTTAGCTTTGACTTGCGTATGCTCAAATACATAAAGGCAAGGCAAGTAACAAATGAACCCATCCTTGGTTAGACAGTGTGCTGTATGTCCTCTTCTGGAGTAACCTGATTCCTGTTCAGCTGATTATTGCCTTATGGGAGTATATATTGTCAGATCTTTCAGGGTTTCAAGAGGAGCAAAAAATTTGGATTGTGAAGAATCTGAAATCACCCTATCTTTATATACTGACAAATAATGCAAAATTTAAAAATAGTTATGCAGGTCAAAGCAAATAGAATTGTGTTCTGGGGGCGCTGGGTGGCTCAGTGGGTTAAGCCACTGCCTTCGGCTCGGGTCGTGATCCCAGGGTCCTGGGATCGAGTCCCGCATCGGGCTCTCTGCTCAGCAGGGGGCCTGCTTCCCTCTCTCTCTCTCTCTCTCTCTGCCTGCCTCTGTCTACTGTGATCTCTCTCTGTCAAATAAATAAATAAAATCTTTAAAAAAAAAAAAAAGAATTGTGTTCTGAATGATACTGCTTTGTAACTTTGGGCCTAAAGGGATGCTTCTTGAAAATAAATACAGGTTTTAGATACTTTAAATGACCTAATTAGGATATACCAGTTAAGAAAAGGGGCTTACAGTCACCTGTTGATGAATGTCTTTAAAATTTCCCTTTTAGAGAATATTAATCTCAGCATAGTGGATGATTGTGTAATAGTATGTTACAGCTTCTATGTATTTTTTGAGTATGTATTCCTAGTACTCTGTATTTTTATTTTTATTTTTTTTAAAGATTTTATTTATTTATTTGTCAGAGAAAGAGAGAGAGACAGTGAGCAAGCACAGGCAGACAGAGTGGCAGGCAGAGGCAGAGGGAGAAGCAGGCTCCCTGCCGAGCAAGGAGCCCGATGTGGGACTCCATCCCAGGATGCTGGGATCATGACCTGAGGCGAAGGCAGATGCTTAACCAACTGAGCCACCCAGGTGTCCCTATTTTTATGTTTTATAGGGGTTTTTTTCTGCTCCCTATTCTTCTGTTTACTTTTCTCTTGCTCATTTTAATGTGAACTTGGTTTCCCTGAACAATTAGAAAAGACCTCATGTCAGATTGCTTTTTTTCTTTCTTTTTTTTTTTTTTTTTTTTTTTACAGGCCAGAGAGGTTTAATTTATTGAAGGAACTGAAAAAGTTGATAAATGGATTGTGGAGTACAAGAGAGGTTTACCTTTCGGATGAGCATTATGCATACAAGTTGACTTCCTATTTATAAATTTCTATTTTTGTTGACAGACATGTTCCCATTAAAGCACACATAACTAAGAAATTAGCTAAAATTGATCACAGAAATAATGAGACATTTAAAATAGGATACAGAAAAATAATAAAACAAAAGAGGTTGCAAACAATTAAGTTGAAGCCGAAAACAAAAGGAAAAAATGTATACTTCCTTCCCTTTCTGAATTGGAGAGGAGTACAGTGATTTTAGAAGATATTTATAATAGACTTAAATAGAAACATTAAATTAAAAAAAAGTGTACATCTTTTAAAATCAGATTCTTATTCTATAAGGACCTCAGATTGCTTTTCTAACCTCATGGAGCTCCCTTTCCGGTATTGTGTGTATGCGCTGTTCAGAAGTCTGCTGCGTGCGTTTCTGAGATTTTCTGGCTCTGGTCCCCTCCCCTGACTTTTATCCCGACCTGCTTGTCCCTTGGTCTTTGCTGTCCCTGTCTGGCTCAGTGTAGAGCCCGCTCCCAGGAGTTTCTCATGTCTGTGGCCTCAGTCCTGGAATGGGGCCTTGGAGTGGCTGTTGTGGGAGCTCACAGGGACTAGATTTCCACAGTCCCAGGAGAGGCCTGTGCTAGTCCTCTCTTGTACTCACCAGATGAATACTAGATCTGTCCTCATGCTGTGTGGCTTCCCGCTGCACTCTTCCTCACAGACACCAATAATAATATTCAGGTCTTGAGGCTGTTTGTGATTCACTGAGAAAACTTTTCCCTACAGTTATTTGTAAATGTTTCTGTGAGTTTTGGACCTACTCTCTAGTTCCATCTGTATTTTGTGGGGACTCTGATGCAGATTCTGCTGGCCTCCCAGAAAACCCAGCGCTAAGTTTGTAGTCCCATGTGTGGGGTGGCAGCAAGAAGTCAGATGGTTACTTGTATTTGAAGAGATTTACAAATTATGTTCAAGAAAAAAGTCATATTCTTCCTATTAAAGTTGGGGAAAGACTAAGCAGTCATTTGCTGCTGCTTATTTTAAAAAAGGCTTTACTCAACAACAACAACAACGAAAAACAAAAAAAAAACCCAGAAAACTTGGAATTAAAGGTGACTTAGCTTGCAGTGTTGAAAAAGCTGTTGTACTTCTCACATTGCATAAACTCTGCTCCCAGCCACAGACCCAGTAAACCAGTGAGAATAGGTTGCATCTCTACCCTTTCGTGGCTGTCTTCCAAATTGAGTGCCCAAGTCAGGTCTCATAAAACATTGAAGGATTACATGAGTTACCATTCACTGTTCAGACTTGGTTCCAACCAGGAAATTTATTGAATACTGCTTGTCTTTATTTCCTAGATGCAAATAAAATAGCATTTGAAGTTCATTCAGAAGACCTCCCTGGAATAATTTATATCGACTAAGAGCCAGTTTGCTCAGTTTCATTCATGGAAAAGCAATACAATTTTGAAATACATATCTGCTTCAGGTTCCTTAATCTCCTAATTAAAAACTCTCTTCTGTCTGTGAACCTAGAGAATAGCGAGTGTGCGGTGTTTTAGATGGATTCGCAGTACCACAGGGATCCTGAATTCGGAACTGAACGGAATATAAACAGTTTAGTTCTCGGCCATACAGAATTTTAATCATATTGTTGACTTGTGTATATAAAGATTTAAAAAATGAGGACATTGTACACTGCTTCTCATTACTGTAGATACTATCTTCCATGACATGAGTCTATATACATACTTTCTCTCCATTTGTTTTTTAAGGTCTCAGCCAATTTCCTCTCCAGTCATCCTTCAGTTTGGTCATGCAGAGACCCTTCTGCCACTGCTCTCTCTCATGGGCTACTTCAAAGACAAGGAGCCCCTAACAGCTTACAATTATAAGGAACAGTTGCATCGCAAATTCCGGAGTGGCCATATCGTGCCCTACGCCTCGAACCTAATATTTGTGCTTTACCACTGTAAAAATGCTAAGACTCCTAAGGAGGAATTTCGAGTGCAGATGCTGTTGAATGAGAAGGTGTTACCATTGGCTTACTCACAGGAAACTGCCTCCTTGTACGAGGATCTGAAGGACCACTACAGGGACATCCTTCAGAGCTGCCATGCCAGTGAAGAGTGTGAATTACCAAAGGTGAACAACACGTCTGATGAGCTATGAGTGCCTGGAGAGCAGTTCTCATTCATCGGGGACTGATCCAGAGGGAGTGATTACATGCTTGGAATAGGTGGGCAACCCACGGTTACAGAGAGCTTTCACAGTACTTGAGTATTTCTGTCTTTTCACAGAAAAATGTTGAATTTCTTTTTGAATCTGGAACATGGATGTGTAAGAAACTATTCTTCGCTGGAGCAGTTCTCTTAGGAGAAAAAAATTGATTTAAAGAACTAGCTGGCCCTGCAAACATTTATAGAAATTAAATCCTTCCTGTTTATATGAGAAATTTCACACTGAGATGGAGTATGATTTCAAAGTGATACTTGAAAGTGCTGGACTCACAATGTATGTCATTTGGATGATCTGTTACGTGACCGAGTGCAGGAACTTTCCAGTTGTGAGGCCTTCTCTGTCTCTCCCTCAGGTAGCTCAGCTCTGGCATCGTCGGTCTTCAGCAGATGTAGTGTGGTGCTGGGACTGTCGCTTTGGAAGAAAGCTGACACCTCTCTAGTTAAGATTTGAAACCATATTAAGAAACAGTGTGATTTTCAAAGGACAGCTTCACTTGAAGACAAAAAGCATAATAAAATAGATATTTTTGTTAATAGTATTTATAAAGTATTTGAACACTTTTTCAATAATTCCTTTTAACCTTGTAGTAAGTCTTACAAGGCCTTTCTTTAGTATCTTACCTGTTTTACATTTATAACAATGGAGGACAAAGAGGACCATTAGCAACAAGGAAGACAGATAGAATCAGAGTTTCTTAAATCCATTGCTTCACAGTTTTTTTTCATTCTGTCACTTTGCTTCTATTTTTATATTTTGCTATTATGTGAAGTGTATCTTGGTTATCACTTTTCCATTCTTTTTTTCCCCCCTAAGTAAAGACTTTACCCTGGCTGGATTAGTTTCACAGATCTGAACCCATTTCAACGAGATACTTCTGAGTTTTGTCAAATGCCGTGAAAGTGTTTGCTATAAAAATAAACAGAATTCTTGTGACTTTACTTCCAGATCTTTTCTGCTGTGTCAATTTACAATCAGTAATTGATGGTAAAAGGTTGGAACTTCAAGCAGCTTTGACAAAATCAGGCAATATAAGGCAATTTTCTTCTATTAGAAATTTCCTCAAGTAAATTGCCACTTCTTTTTTGGAAATATATTTTATTAAAAATCTAAATAAGGGGGTGCCTGGGTGGCTCAGTGGGTTAAGCCGCTGCCTTCGGCTCAGGTCATGATCTCAGAGTCCTGGGATCGAGCCCCGCATCGGGCTCTCTGCTCGGCGGGGAGCCTGCTTCCTCCTCTCTCTCTGCCTGCCTCTCTGCCTGCTTGTGATCTCTCTGTCAAATAAATAAATAAAATCTTTAAAAAAAAAAATCTAAATAAGAAATATCACAACTACATATTGAAAATTATAAAAGATGCATGGATCATCTGTTGATCATTTTCTTCAGATGAATTACATCCATAAAATGGGTCATTAGCTGATGCATCAATACACTGCTGATTGTTCCAGCAGGGGCTGCTGCTGTCTAATTTTTTCTTTTTAGAAAGATAAGAAGAGAATAATCTAACAAGCATTCATGTGCACCATCCTGTTCATCAGAATAACATTGTAACATATGACTTAGGTCCAAGTAAGAACAATTGAGGTCTTTTTTGTGTTCTGAGCCTCGAGGTAACCACCAGCATAAAATTCAGTACTCACCATTCCATTTCATGCTTGACTCTGGAAACTTAACAGTATTGTGGGGATGTTAAAATTTTCTAGAAAACAACCATTCTTGAATATCATGTTAGTCTTGAATGGGTGATTTATTTTAACTGCTGTGTTTTCTTTTCAGGACTTTCTTGATCCAGATTATTTATCACAAATTGTCACAAATTAATATTGTCAGCTTGTCAATACTTGCTCAGTACTTTTTGTGAACAAACACTAGACTCAGTCTATAGGTGTATAAAATTGAATGAACCTAGTTCTTTCAAGGGGGTTATCTCAAAAGACCTTAAAACAAATTCACTTGGTGTCTGACATATTGACTAGATAATTTTTTTAAAAGATTTTATTTATTTATTTGACAGATCACAAGTAGGAAGAGAGGCAGGCAGAGAGAGAGGAGGAAGCAGGCTCCCCGCCGAGCAGAGAGCCCAGCGCAGGGCTCAATCCCAGGACCCTGAGACCATGACCTGAGCCGAAGGCAGAGGCTTTAACCCACTGAGCTACCCAGGCGCCCCAACTATATAATTTGATTCACAAACTTCTCCTAGACTATGAAAGTTTTATAGGAGGTATTTAATTTTGTTATTAAAATAGGACCATATAATCAGCTTGATAGTATTTTAGGGTGGAGGGCAAGTGGGGTCCATTTTTGCTAATACTACAGAGATTGTGTTATTGTTTCTGCTGCTATTATTCCCATTTAGGATATGCTTGAAACTGAAGAATTTCATGATGAAAACTGAAAGCTCTTTAAGATAGGCTATATAGAAAGTTGAACATTGAAAAGTCATCTTTGGCTAACATAGGGCTCATTCGGAATAGGTGACCAAATCACTCAGTTAAGCCACACTTAAATGACTATTGGTTCTGACATTTTCATCAATTAATAAACAGCTATTGACATTAGCCATTTTTCTGTCTCGTCTACAATTTGGTGTGCGCAGTGGATTGTACTCCCTTTTTTATAGTCATGTTCTGTTTGAAGTTTCTGCTCTCCAATACATAATCATTCACTTGATACTAATTTGGTATATAGTCTTGATTGTAACTTTTTTTTTAAAAGATTTTATTTATTTATTTATTTGACAGACAGAAATCACAAGTAGGCAGAGAGGCAGGCAGAGAGAGAGAGGAGGAAGCAGGCTCCCTTCTGAGCAGAGAGTCCGATGCGGGACTCGACCCCAGGACCCCAAGATCATGACCTGAGCCGAAGGCAGAGGCTTTAACCCACTGAGCCACCCAGGCGCCCAATAGTCTTGATTCTAACTTAAACACTGAAAGCAAAACTCCACTTGAAAAAAGAGCTGTTTTTTTTTTCCCCAGGCCTAATCAACTTTTATATGTTTATTAGATTACTTTCCTTTCATAAACCACAGAACTGGTGCATGCCCTTAAATACTTGGGAGTCACGTACAACCAAACCAGAACATATTTCCTCTAAGATGGATATTTCATGTGGTGTTCATTAATGATCCTTGGAATTTGGCCTGTCTTCTGCCAAATGGAAGCTGGAAATAAATATTTGCATTACCATATAATTTGCCTGTATCTAGCTGTCATAAACTTAACTTCCCAGATCATTGCGTTCTCCCCAGGCCGTTCTTTGTCTCTCGCTCCCTTAGCATTTCCTTCCACTCACCTCACAGCCCAGTCCACTCTTAAGCACCTTCACATCCATCTGTTAAGCTGCTTTTATTGTGTGTAAGTGGTATTTTTGAGAAAATTCCACAGCGCTCCCCTCCGCCCCCCAGCCCCAAAAGATGTCATGTTCTTCCAGTTAAAAGACTTATAGTTTGAACTGCCTATCTGGAACTTGGCAGGAGGTTAACCTTTAGAGCTTTAACAGGGGGAGGTGCCTGGCTGGCTCAGCCCATCGAATGTGTGGCTTCTGATCTCGGGATCATGAGTTCTAGTCCCATGTTGGGCATAGAGTTTAGCTAAAAAACAAACAAACAAAAAAAAACCAAAAAACCATCATTACTGAAGTAATACATCTTAGGGTAGAAGGATTCTTCATTGTTATTCTACAACTAGTCTCAATTCAGCATCTTCCAGGTACTATTCCCAGATTTTAAACCATTGTTTAGACCTAAGCCATTCGTATACACACTCTTGTTTGATGAACTGGGAGAAGAAATATTTGTTCATTAAAATGATGGCCTTCTAAAATAATACTCCTAGTATAAAGAGAAAATGCCATTAGAATATTGCACATGATTTCTGAAATAGCTAATATGGAAAATTATGGTGGGATGAAAATCTATAGATTATCTCTGCTTTTTTCATTGGAGTTCATCCTGCCAAACTTGGTTCTGATTGTCTTTTGACTAAACATGAACAATACGGATGCTTTGGGAAACTTTTTCAACAAATATTCTATAAAAAAAAAGTCCAGGTTCAATATAAATTATGCCAATATGTATTGGTGAAACATGTCTTTGGATACATCCAGATGAGAAAGTTCTTTTTAATTGCTAAGAAGCATTCTTACATGGAGATAGGAAGGACACTAGTTTTGCTCTCCCCCTGAGAAACCAGCGTTAGTCTCTTTTCCTTACAATTTCTGTCCTTGCTCTTGTCTTCCCCAGGAGGTGTGAACACTGGTCTCGGTGTGGGACAAGAGAGTGCTTTTTCTGTCTGCAGTGTTGCTCCCTGAAACCTGCTGTCGATCTTTGTGTTGGGGAGATTAGGAGGAGAGCCTAGAGTTCTAGCTTGACTATGTTAGTCTTATAGTCTTCTTAACCCACCCTGAATTCTGTCCATGGTGGGGAAATAAAGCAATTGTGTTTCACAGTTTTTCTTGCCACTTCTGGTGGCTGAAAAGAGGCTCAGGAGAGATTAGAGTTTGAGGGGAGACAATGGAAGGAATGAATGAGAACCATCCCCTGCCTTTTCCTTGCTGAGTGGGAGCCAGCCCATGGAACTCCCAGGCACAGATAGGGAACCAGAAGGATCTGGGATTCTACATGAGCCTGCTCGCAGGTCTTCAGGCCTTTCTCATACTGGAAATGGAAGGGAGCAGCCAGCGCTTCAGAACTCTTTCAAACAGGTGCTGCTGATTTTTTGTCTCAGTCACCTGCCGGAGAGAGATTAAGTAATACTTGCTTTTCAAGTCTAGCTGTCCTCAGTCTTGCTCTTGAAAACATAGAAGCCCAGCCAGAAGACTTCCTTCCAACCCGAGGGCGCATTAGAAATCTCAGAGAACTGTATTTTTTTTAACAGCTCTAAAAACTCTGGTTATGGGGCACCTGGGTGGCTCAGTCAGTTAAGCGTCTGCCTTTGGCTCAGGTCATGTTCTTGGGGTCCTGGGATCGAGTCCCATGTTGGGCTCCCTGCTCAGCGGGGAGTCTGCTTCTCTCTGCCCCTCCCCTTGCTCGTTCTCTCTCTTAAAATCTTTAAAAAAATGAAAGTTATTAAAGATGTTACAAGCACCACCACAGACAGGGGGCCATGCATTTGTTAGTATTTGTCACGTCTCATCTTTGGAGAAACATCACCTCCTGTTACAAAGTCATAATGTAACAAGTTACTTGATAATTATCAGTGTACCTGGTGTTAACGAGGTCCACCATAAAATCATGTGTAGAATTCTAGTTACCACTGGGTAAGGGAACGGCCTGTGCCTACCGCGTACTAGAGAAGGTGTTTCACTGACTCCACTTAATCTCCATTACGGACTACCAAATCAGCCGTGTGAAAGCCATTTTGCAGATAACGAAATGAGGTTGAGAATGAAAGTGCCTTTTTTTTTTTTTTAAACACTTGACACTCTATTCCATGTGTTTGTTCTATCAGTGATAAAGTGGAAATTTGACCTGGTTCAAACGGGGCACTCTGGTGCGCAGATTGTTTGAGTAAGGCGCTGTAATGATAAACTCCATAAATCTCTTGACTCTGCTCACCGGTGCGATAAAAATGTTGCCATTCTTTATCCTTTTCCGTAGCCACTGGCTCGAACTGCTGAGCTCAGGAAGATGCATCCTCAGCAGGAACGAAAGGGGACAAAAGCATCACCCAAGTCTTTCACACGACCTTTTCCAAGACAGATTGCTTCCTTCTGTCCCCCCAGGCTCAGCCAAGTGCACTGGGCACCTGCTGTGGAAGGCTTTCCAAGTCAGCCGGGAGGGGCAGGTTCATTGCCCTGCGGTATTACAAACCATCCCTAAGAATTGAATTTATAGTATTTCACAGCAAAGCACAGTTCAGCTTTGCTGGAGCATCTAGATGGTTTCAGTTCCAAATTCATGGGAACGGTAGCTATATTGTATGTTTACTTTCCCTTCCTTT